GGGAATTTTTTTAACAAAGATGCGAGTTTTTTTATTTTTTTAGAGTGGAAACTAGCATTTAAAAGGAAGTACTTTGATTTATTTAAATAAGTTGTTAATCAAATCACCCATTCCACGCTTCCCTTCTATCATGTGGTACTAATTCATATCATATAAATGATACACAATGAAAGAACCATTCTATAAATCATCTGATTTTTACCTTTTCAAAGATTTCTCCCATATATGAAACATAATTTAAAATGATTTACTAAATTAAAATTTTATTATAGAATAAGGTGTTTCTTTTTTTTTTTTTTTTTTAGAATTATTTATATTAAATTATAATTGTATGAACAATAATGAGATATTGTTTGAATTGCACAGCCTAAAACGAACTGCTTCAAAATTAGCCTAAACGTAGCTGCAAAAGGCTTGCATTGATTCGCTCCAAATCCCTAATCAAGTAAGTCACCTTACCAGTTGTGTTCTAACGAAAATCTTTATCAAGTTTTCGTTTTTATTCAAAAAAAATTTCTTTTAAATCATTTTATTTTTATTATTTTGGGAAATTTATTTTCATCAAAGTAGGAAAGGAGATTGAGAAAATCTATAGGGAGCGATGATAAAAAAAAAAAAAAAAAAAAAAAGAAAAATTCCCAAGAATTTCATTTTGGTCGTAAATAGCACCACATACAGAAACGATCGATGATTTCCTTTTTTAACACGGTATCGTGATTTTTATTTTATTTAATACATAGATAAGCCTGTTCTTTTTCCCAGGGTCTACAGGATTTTTTGCCAAAAATCCAATTTTATAACATTAAATAATTACACGAAATAGGTCAGAGAGCTCCTAAATTATTTTATAAAACGCGTGGGGAATAACAAATCTAAGCCTTATTTTGAAATCCCTTCCAAAAATGGAAAACATATAAATAATAAAAATAAACAAAATAAATGTTGTAACGATTGCAAACAGAAAATTTGAGAATAATTTTTTTTTTTTTCTCGTTTGTGTTCACATAGATTACCCTTCTCTGGAAGGTTCGTTCTGGAATATGTTATAAAAAAAACTTATGTGAGAGTCATATGTGTAAAACACAACATATAGTTCGGTCAACAATGATCATTTCACCAAAAATTGAAGCGTTAATTAATCATCGTGCATAAATTACGTGACACGGTGAAACAGAAATCAATTTACCCTTTGAAGAAAACGCGAGAAAGATCAAACTTCCTACGTGAAAAATTATCACTTGACCAGTCTCGGTAAGGTATTCATTTTGCCATTCTAGTTCGTGGGCGGTATTTTAGTTTACATAAAAAAAACCTTGTTTCCCAACAAAAAATAAAGATTTTTTCAAAAAACAATTCCTCATTGTTAAGATATATCTATCACATTGTAAAAATTACATAATTTTAAAAAAAAAGGTTTTAAAATGTGGTAATGGTATTCAATTCTCACGCAATTTTAGTTTGATAAGATTTAGTATAACATTAGTATAACATTCCAATGAATAAAAAAAGGGGGAGCTTTGCCACAAATTTAATCGTGTGAAAAGGAAATTAGATTGTATTTTTGGTGCTTTTCTAGAGAATTCATCATTTACTATTGTAGTTCACGGATCTAAAACATCTAAACATTAAAGTTTACGTTTCACCACATTTAATATTGCTTAAAAAGTAATTCATAGTTTTATTATATCTCAATATATCAATCTTCAATGATGATGACATTCATTATAATTATAATACCATAAAAAACCGTTTGTACAAATTTAACAAATATTCTACTTTCGGGCCGAATTATTTTTGTTTGGACGTGGGACGGAATTTAGAATTTACATTCTGTGCTCCCTTCATGATTCGTCATTCGTCTCCCCAATTCTTTTTTTCTAAATAAATAAATAAATGAATGAATGAAAGAAAATAAATAAATTTAAAATCATTTTCATTTTTTTAATTTTTTAATTTTCCTTTCATTCCAGTTTACAAACTCGCCTAATACATTTCTCGCTTATTAGGTAACCTCCTGACATCAATTCCCGCCGAATCTAAATCACGATCATCTTTTCCTAGGTAGGAAAATATCAAAAGGTTTTCTTGATAATGCAGGTGATGATCTGACCATAATTTAGTAAACATTATGGTAGGTTGGGTAAACCTTTTTTTTTTTTTTTTTTCCTTCTCTTATTCGCTTTTGATACTTTCAATCAAAATATATTTCTAAATGGGTGCTTCAAACATTGCAATATTTGTGACGAATCATATTACACATGATACTACATACATATTTTTTTTAACTAAATTTGGATGATTTTATTTTTTTTTATGGAACAATATGTATTCCTTATTTAACATGATAATGACGTGAAAAAAATTTCTTACGAAAGGGAGAAACCTTTTTTTTTTTTTTTTTTTTTTTTTTTTTAAAAAAAAAAAAAATAATAATAACTAATATTATCATCCATTTAATAAAATTGCTCTAGAGAGAAAAAAAAATAATCATAATTCAAAATTTATTTATATATAAAAATAGCGAACATCCAAGAACGATAATTAATAATACGGGAGGTTGATTTAACTAGATATTTATTTAATGCCAACCTTTCCCGTAAAAAAATTGCCCACTAACCGAGCTTTATTACAATGATGCATAACCGTTGAACAAACTCACTATTTGTTTATCATAAGCGGAATGCATAAAACTAGAAGTGATTGTAATGTCGATAGGCTGAAGTAAATTTGCATAAGGGGCTTGTCGTCGTCTTTGTTGCTCCGGTTGCTGTTGTTGTTGTTGTTGTTGTTGTTGATTATTAGTCGTTTGTGGTCTCGAATCCGTCAGCGAGCTCGAACCCATCATTTGTTCATGTGAGCCTGAATCAATCTCCATCTCTTGCCCACGTGAGCTCACATCTATCTCTTCTTGTTCAGGCACAGTCAAATCTATCATTTGTTTTTGAGGACTTGAATCCTTTTCAGTAGTATCCATCGTTTGTTCTTGAGAGCTCTCAACTACTTCTTGTTTTGACACGGTCAAATCTATCATTTGTTTTGGCAAACTAGTTTCTATCTTTTCCATCTGTCGTTCTTTCACAGTCGAATCTATCTTGTTTTTGTCTTTCTCTGCCTCTCGTTCTTGCAAGGTCAAATCTATCACTTGTTTTTTATTCTTTGAATCTTCCTTCTTCTCTTTTTCGTTATTTTGCCTCCTATTGCTCGTACCGGGTTTGGTTATCGCAAAGGTTGAAAGCAAAAGTGATGGAACAACCGTCTTCTTTTCCTTTTTTTTTTCTTCAACAAAGGGTTCCCCATTTATCATGGGTCGGAATTTCATACTGGTTTTACCGCTAATTCTAGGTTGATAAACGTATTCGGGGTAAGTATAATCATGTACCTTCTTTGCACAATCGGCGATGATTTCAAATAATTGTTTGATTTCATTCGATTCATCTGCCCATTTCTTCGCTGCCAAATTTGATACCACTTTAAAATTTTTCGCCGTCGCACTCCCTTGTTCACTGGAGATAATTGCATGTAAATTCCTTCTATACAAGACAAAATTGTTTTGTGGCCTTGGTATACTATTACAAGCCTTACGACGAGTTCCCAACCTCGGAGTGATAAGTGTTTTAAGTGGTATGGAAATATACCGTTCTATCTTCGCTAAAGTCCCTGTATCAATGTTATTCGCAATGATATAGTCGACAATTTCGGATTGTGATATAAGTTTTTGCCCCGTTGGTCCCTCAGTTTTCGATTTTTGACTTAACTTTGGTGAAGGGTATGGTGCTAATTCTCTATCGAATCTCGTTTCAAACCAATATAATGACATCCTTTTTTAATCATGAAAAAAGGAAAAAAAAAAAAAATTTAAAAACAAAATAATAAAATAAAATAAAAAAAAAAAAAAACAATTCTTTATCTTATTTTATAATTTTTAATTTTTTTTTTTTTATTTTATTATTATTATTAATATTTATTATTATTTTTTTTTTTTCGTTAACGAAAGCGGATGAAAGAAAGGAAAATTTTTTCATGGAAAAAAGGAACCTTCTCCTTCAAGGCAAGTTATTTATATCATTATTTTTATTTACACGAGCCTCTGAAATTGCATTATTTACTAAAAGCGTTAATGTGTAAAATTTGTATTTGCCGATCTTTTGAAGATCATGACAATTAAGGTATCCCAATTAGGACAAATAAATTAAACCATCCTGCCGTAATCACGTGATTTTATCACCTTTCCAATCTTCCGTATTATAATTATAATAAAAAAGAATCATTTTAAAATTATTTTATTTAATAAAGTCATCCTTTTGAATTTGAATTTCAGAGCAAAAAAAAAAAAAAAAAATGCTAAAATAATATTAATGATATTCTTATTATTGCGGTTTAATCTTGCGAATTCTTTTTTTTATAGAAAAAAGAAATAAAAAATTAGAATTTGATACAAATGAAGAAAAAAAAAATCTATAATAATAATAATTGCATTAAAAAACCTTTAATTTCGTATATTGAGAAAAATGTCAAAGTCATCAACTACAATTACAAAAGAATATAGAGAATAAAAAAAGATACGAGCCGATATTTTTTTTTAAAAAAAAAAAAAAAAAAACAAAAAAAAAAAACGCCTTACTCAGTTAAATGTTACCAGACAATAACATTTCAATAGCTGCGTTGACATTTCCTCCACTAGCCAGCAATGCCCTGATATTTTTCTGTGCATCCCAAAATCCCATTTCATTCAATTGTTGAAGTTGCGTCTGAAATCTTTCTTCCGGAGGTTGTTGTGGCGTAGATGGAGGGTTGAGGCCCCACAAAAATGATTGATCAAATCCAGCAGGCATTGAAGGTTGAGTAGAATTTGGGTTACCTGCAGCAAAGGCAGGATTAAGGAAGCTAAAAGGATTAATTGCAGGTGTTGATGTATTAGGTGCTGTACTGCCAGGTGTTGTACTTCCTGTTGTGGTTGTTGTTCGATTAGTCGTGTCTGTTGTAGAAGGTTGTGTAGTCGTTGCGGGATTATTTCCAATAGGTTGTCCTAATCCACCCAATCCACCAAATCCGGATAAACCACTACCTCCAGTAAAAGGTCCTGGAGCTCCCCCCATATACGAAGATAAAGCCGCCATGTTCCTAAGTGCCTCAGGATTTGACATGAGTGCTTGAAATTCTGGGTCTTGCATCATTTGTCTCAATTGTGGTGCCATTGATGCAAATTGTGGATTCATAGCAATCACATTATCAACGAATCGAGGGTCTTGCAACATTTGCGACATGTACTGCATGGTCGTAGGATTGTTAAGTAATGAATGTAATGTATCTACATTTCCTCCGCCGTATGTATTACTAGGAAATCCACCTAACCCTCCAAATAGGTTTGGTGGTGTATTGTTTGTAGAAGGAACGGGGGTTGGTGTGGCTTGAGGAGTCTGAGTAGTTGTGTCTCGTTGAGGCTTCGCTTTTTAATTAGAATACCAAAATGGGAAATTAATTAATGAAAGATCTATAAACAAGTGCGTTTCTCAAACGATAAAATATATTTAATTAATTAAGCAAAGAATAAATAATAAACAAATTTAAACCACTAAAAATATCTCCCATCCTCCTTTACATTACTCCTTAATTTGTAAATTGATAAAAGAAAAAAAACCATACCGGCTGGTGTAGATCCATCAGCGGCTGCAATATTATAAGTTTCAAGTGTATCAGTCTTTACTTTACCAGAGTATATATTCCTTAATTTATAAAATGATAAAACAACATACCGGCTGGTGTAGATCCCCTCACCATATGAACAGTGTGACCGTCTGCGATTTTATAAGTTTCAAGTGTATCAACGTCTTTTAAAACTTTACCAGAGTATATTAACCTTTGTCTATCTGCTGCAGTATCACATTTTTCAGCAATTGCCTGTTTGAATTCTAAAACCGTTTTAGAAGTGTCTATCTTTACGTTATACTTTTGATCGTTAGAACTTTTAACGGTAATAGTTATTTCTGGCATTTTGAGAATAGAAAAAATGACTTTTACTAAAAAAAAATGGGTAGAAATTCAAATATATATATATTATTTTTTTTGTCGTTATCTTATCAATTATCAGTTAAACGGTTACAAAAACGAAATGCAACGTTCACGTGATTGATCGTTTAGCGCAGAATTATAGCGCAGAATTAAATTTTCTTGCCTCAATTTTTTAATTTCTATTATTCTTAGTTTTTTATTTGAATTATTAAAAAAGAATAAAAAAAAAAAAAGAAACCCCCCACAAAGTTCATAATCAGTATTTGACAAATCAATTTTTTTTTTCCCAAATATTTCTTTAAAGAATGATACAGTAAAACCCATACATCCCTTTTTGATCTTACATATTTACTTCTAGGTATTTCAAATTGTAGTTAAAGATTGATAAAACATCTTTACCCTTTCATGATACATCACTTTTTCTCTTCTAAATCCAGTAACTTGAAGTGATTTGGCTGAAGTCGCGCGAGAAAGAGCTACATATGCTTGTCCCTTTTCAAAAACCTTACTAAGATCAACTTTTACCCTATCTAACGTTTGCCCCTGACTTTTATGAATGCTAATTGCCCATGAAAGGACAAGAGGAATTTGTTTACGACTAGCGAGGACGACGTCACCAGGACTTGTCAACTTCCATTCGGCTTCTTGTATAACCATTTCACATAAATGTGTAAATCTTACGATAGGAAGTAATTTTACATCCGCCATCCCTTCATCTTCTCCATTGTAGTAGCTTGTTCCATCTGCTTGATTATAAAATCCCACCACGACACCTCGACTTCCATTGACTAGTTCCTTGGATAGATTTTTAATGAGCATCACTTGCGCATTACGTTTGAGTTCCAACTTTTCTGGCGCAAGACAACTCTTGCAAAGAGTCTGTAACTGTCCAAATCTGAGTGGTTCCCAATCAACGGAAGTATAAGTGTATAATTTATGAGAGATTTTGCCTAGTTCCGTAGCATTGGCCTTATTCACCATATCATTAATCGGATATAGTTCTGTCGGTCTGATTCCGTCATCGGGATAGTTTGGTTCAATTTCCAATTGTTTAAGAAGCACCAAGGACTTGTCGGACATTTCACCAATACGCATCTCATTCAGTAATTCTATAAGCTCTGAATCCTTTTGTCTGTATATTTTAGTTAGTTGGATAGTATGTTTAATGCAAACCTTCCATCTTTCAGCATCAAAGCAAAATTTACTACTCCTGTCTTTTGAAACCGGTGGAAGTTGAAAGAAATCCCCGGTAACTACAAGTTGTAACCCACCAAAAGGACGATTATTATTTCGAATCGCCCTGGCTATAAACTCCAATTTATCAAATAATTGTGCGTCCAACATCGATATTTCATCAATAACCAAAGTATCAATAGATTTCCATCTAGTGCGTGCTGCGACTGATTTTTGAACTTGCTTAATAAGTTCTGGAGCTAAGCCACGCCCAAGACCCACTCCTGCAAAAGAATGAAGCGTAGTTCCACTTATGTTTACTGCGGCTATTCCGGTAGTTGCAGTGACCGCTACTGATTCGCTGCCATAACGAGCCTTTAGTGATGAAATTATCCTTTGGAGTAGAAAACTTTTCCCGGTTCCAGCAGATCCGGTAAAGAAAATATTCTCTCTGTTCAATACCACTAAATCAAATATACGTTGTTGTTCCTCGGAAAGTTCGTGATTGCTTGACGTTTCTTTGTTATTATTATTCACTTCACTTAGGACGCTCCGATTCTTTACCACAGTTTCCAAATATCTTTTTTTCGAATTTGGTTGCCAAACATCATCATCCGACCATTCACCATCAAAAGTATAGGTATCACCTTTTCTTTTTTGCATAAGTACAGCGGCTGAATTGTTTTCGGATTTCAAATGTTCTTGTTTTTTATCCATACCATTTTCTGATGAAGAATTATTTTGAAAAGATAAAGTACTCTGAACAGAAGAAGTGGTTGCGTTGTTCTGATTATTATTAGATGATGAAGATTTATTCTGAAAAGAGTTTTTCTGGTTAAATGTTGAAGATTTATTCTGAAAAGATGAAGTATTTTGAATAGAAGGAATGGGAGTGCTTTTCTGAATAGATGGTAAAAAATTATTATTATTCTGAACAGAAGGAATAGGTGTGTTTTTTTGAATGGACGGTGTGGTAGCTGGATATTTTTGAAAAGCGGATCGAAATGCTTTTGTATTACGTTGAGTCTTTCTGGTCATCAAAGTTTTTTCTGATGCTTTAAATTTAGCAAGGTCTGCTTTGGAATAAGATGAGGAAGTTTCATCCAATGAAGGATTAGCGTCATTTTGAGCTTTTTCAATCATTGTTAAATTTCCTTGATCTTGAAAATATGAAGAATAAGACATTGCGGAAATGAATCTTCCCGTAAAGATAATTTACAAAAAAAAAGAAAATAAATAAATAAATAAAAATTATTTTCTTATTACCGTGTTCATAAATATTTATTTTTATAATAATATCTGTCGTTAATATTAAAAAGAATTTAATTTAAATGCTCACCCGAAAGTTTAAATTTACTACTTATATAGACTGAATAATTGTTTATAATATAGCAGGCCCTTCTGTAATAAGAACAAGAAGTTTTATAGTAAAAGCTAGAATCCAAAATACGACGCGTTAAAAAACTCGTGTCGTATTATATAAAAGCTGTTGATCACTAAAAGGTTAAATTTTTTTTTTATAAAGCCCAAAATCACCATATCACGTGAATTACGCACATCAATTGGTATATAGACTACGCGTCCACTCAACCAATCAGAGCCCTTATCGATCAACTAATAAAATTATTAATTACTACCATTTAATTCATTGATTTCTAATTATTAAATATTAAGATAATTAAATTTAAATATTTTATAATTATAAATTATTAATAAATTATATAACATAACATAATTTTGAAGGCTAATTTTAACTATTTTGACTATTTTGATTATTTAATTTAACTTTATATATGTTTAGCCTATAAATATTTAACTAGAAAACTATAAATAAATAAATAGAATCATATAAACTAATAATATTGATTAAACTTATATTAAATCTAATTAAATTTATCAAAATTATTAAAAATATCAAATATATTATTTTAGTTTTTAAATTTACATTAAAGGAATTTAAAATAACTAAAATTACATTTGTATTTTTTTTTAGATTTTTATTATTATTATTTATATTATTATTTATGATAAAAGAAAAATTCTTTCTGCTTTCAGACAAAATGCCAAAAAATAGTAGAAACAAAAATGCTAACCGCAGTCGCTCAGCATCACCAACAAGTATTCAACAATCACAAAAAAGACAAAATACTTTACAGATAGTTGAATTAACAATCTCTTTAATTGCTCAAACAAACAACACTACTCCAGTAAATAACATGAAAGTTGATAACACTTCTATCAAACTCCTTTACTAACTAGCAAAGGCAAAGAAAAGGAAGTCACCCTAATAACCAACACAGTTTCACTAAACACTATGAATGTGAATGATAGTTCAAACCTTTTAAAAAATAATATCATCATAGAGGAAGATATTTTCGCCTTTACTGATCACTGCCCTCTTAAAAAATTTTTCGCATACTGTTTACTCAGAAAATATAAAGATGAAAATCTCTAACAAAAGATTGCTGACATTATCGATTAACATTACATAAAGCTACTTTCCTTTTCAGGAATAATATGTGATAAATCTCCTGTTGATCCTAAATAAAAAATCCTCAAGCTTGCCTTTTTAAGTAAGGATAAATGAGATAATTTCTGCAAGATGCAGATTTCATAATTGGATAATGCCACGTTTCTCCCATTAATTATTTAAAAGCAAGCTTCTTATATTCTGGAACTTTTCATCACAGTGACTGAAATTTCACTTGACGTCACTGAACTATGCCTAAATAAATTATTTTTCAAATATAACACGATCACTTACATTACTATGGAAATCCGCAATTTGTGACAAAAAGCTACCATTATCTTTGACAAATTCGTTAATTTTATTGAACTTGACAAAGGAGATAGCATCTACCTCTTTAATGATATAATTCGATTTCACTGTAACAACGTTTTATATGAAGTTATCTAAGAAAGGTCTAAATACTCAATTAAACTTACCAACCTCTCATGTAATACTATCTCATGTTTAATAAATATTGATCACTTGGCAGATACTATAGCATAAATCGATTTTCAGGCTCAGTTCAATTATAATTATCTTCAACATGCTTATTTTTACTTTACCTTAACTGCACTATGCGAAGCTGTAAAGAAAATTACTAACCTCACTTTAAATGAAAAGAAAGTTGAATAAACAGATTCTAAACAGAAGTTATATGCGATTTGCTTTTTTACTTATCATAATATAATAAGTTGTTTTAAAAAGAGACAATCTCTAAAGACTGAAATATGCAGCAACTTAACCAGCGGTTTCAGCTAGCATAATTCCATAATTATTCTGCTTCTAAAAAATAATTCTAACAGAAAGCAGTTAGAGATAACGTCACCTTCGTTGACACTACAGCTTAGACTGCTTAGTCACGATCAATTTTTTTACATTAATATTAAGATCTTATACAAATTGTATTAATTTATAATTGTAAAGTTTCTTTCCATATTTTTAAAGCACATAACCTGAGTTACAAAAAAATGAATTTGTTTTTCTGATTCATTTATTTGATTAAAAGTTATTAAGCATTAAAATTTGTATTCTTTAATAAGTACATCCAAAATTTGCTACTAAGATCATTTTCTTTTTTAGTATAATTAACTGATTTAAAAAGGAAAAGACCAAATTTTTTTTAGAAGGGAATGAACAAATTTTTTTTAGGAGGGAACAAACGAATTTTTTTTAGAAGGAAACAAATGAATTTTTTTTGCCAGGAGGGAACGAACGAATTTTTTTTCAGAAGGGAACAAATGAATTTTTTTTTCTTTTTTTTTAAAAGAAAACAAATTTATCTTAAAGAAGATCAAAATTTTTTTAAAAGAATTGATTTTTTTTTCTTTTTTAAAGCAAATTTTTTTTTAGAAAAAAAGGAGGATCAGGTTTTTTTTTTTTTTTTTAAAAAAAAAACTTTTTTTTTTAATTTTTTACAATTCTTAATGCCACCCTTATCAAAACAACAAGTTTACTTAAAAAAACATAACCAAAATGTACATAAAGTTGTAACTTTATTAGAAACAGAAAGTACTGATAGTGATGAGAATTCAGTACTTTGGTATACAAAAGAGTTGGATAATAATGTGAAAAAACTCTTCAACTCTTAATGCATAATGCAAAAAATATTATCTTATCAAAGCGACCTTTATGTTATTTAGAAAATTCTTCTCGAACTTAAAGAAGATATAAAGTAGAAGAAATAAAATCTGCTGCTAAACATAAAAGAAAATTACTGATTTTTTTAAAGTTATATCAATTGAAGAATTACTTGAAGCCAATTCAACTTCTAGAAATAAAAATTTTTCTAATCAAATTTCTGAAAATGAGAATGATCAAGAACTTTACTAATCTGATAATGAAAATCTTAATACTAAAGATTTATTATCAAATGATAAACTAAAGAAAATCAAAAATAAAATTAATAAAGACAAACTTTCAAATAATTTAAAATGAAAATTAACTGCAGTTCTACAATATCTTCGATTATCTAAATTTACTAAAACAAAGATAAATGCAAGTTTATCTGTGATATATCAATTAGGTCATAGTACTTATTTTGCACAATCTATTCGTAAATAAACTAATATTTTAAAAGATAGTGGCATGTTTCTAGAATTATTTCAAAAAAAACATCTTAAAGTTAAAAATCTTTAAATGATAAGGATATTCAAGCTAAAATTATTTTATATTTATGTGAAAATAAATTTGAATTTTATATTTCTGACTTTATAAATTATATTTTAGATGTTATTTTATTAAAACTTGAAATTGAGCATGCTAAAAAAATTGGATAATTATTATTTTTTAAAATTAATTATTATCTAATAATATTAATCAATTATGATTATTTTTTTTTTAAAAATTCAACTGCAAAGTGATAGCTTAATAAAATGGGATTTATATTTAAGCAATATTATAAAGAAGTGTATTATAATGGTCATAAAAGACTAGATGTAGTGGCAACAATTTCTTACACAAATGGTTAGGTAAGTAAAAATGCTTTTTTTATAATTATATAATTTAATTTATAAATATATTAATAAATTATTTATATATTTATTTAGATATGAAAAATTTATGTCATAATTTAAAGATAATAATTTAGAAATTCAAGTAAAACCACACTATTAAAAGATGATGAAAAAGAATATGTGCTTGTTATACATGATAAAATAATTTTTTATGCTAATGATGATCACAAATCTGAATAGGCTCTAACTAATGAACAACCTTTAAGAAAAAAAGGATAAGGATTATCAATTCATATTAGTGATTTTTTTTGTAAAACAATCAGACATTTATACTTACAAGTAGAACAAAATGAAGAATTAAATATTCTATATAAAGCTCGTGAAATTATTTATCCAGATAAAAATAGAGATGGTTATTAAAATATTGAATAATTAATTAAACAAGTAAGTATATTAATTTTTTTTAAAAAAATTCTTTATTTTAATTAATATTAATTATTAAGGTTGAAAAAAAAGCAATACCTATTTTTGAAGTAACACATCCAAATGCTATTGCAATTTTTGCATTTGATAATTCCTCATTTTATAGTACTTTTGCAACTAATATATTAAATGCAAAAGTAATGAATGTTAATTCTGAAGATAAATAACCTATTATATATGATACTATTTTTAATAACAGATTCAACATATGCTTTTTCTAAATGATTATAATGATTCTTCTCTTTGTAGATTACCTAAAGGTATGAAATTATTCTTCAAAAACGTGATTTATGAAGGCAAGGCATAGTGGGCTATTATCAAAAATCTGATTTAATGGAAACTGATTGTTATATGAGACATGTTTTGGAAAATCAACCTGATTTTAAAAATCAAAAATGTAGATTATAAAAAGTAATTGAAACACATAGTCATAAAATAATTTTTTATCCCAAATTTTATTGTGAGTTAAATTACATTAAAATGTATTGGAATATTGTACTAGGTCATAATATATATTATATTGTGACCTAGTTGCAGTAAATTATTACCTAGTTACCATTAGATTGTTATCTGGTTGCCATCATATTACAATTATATTTGTTTTTTAGTTGTCTACAGACTTTTAGTAGCTTATTTTATAATTATCCTTTCTACTTACTTATTTTTGTAATTATTACAGTGCTTTTTTTTTCTTTTTATTTATCCATAAGGTTGCTTCTTCTTCTTTTCCATTTCCTTTTCATTACTATTATATAGAGTTTTTTGATATAGTATTTAGCTTTTGTTTCTTTTTACGATTGCTTGTTTTATTATCATTTGAAGCTTTGATTTGACTCTAAAATTTATTTATGATATGCACTTTTTTTAATATGTTGCGTAGCCTTTATTTCTCATTATGAATACTAGTTAGTTATATGCTGTTTGGGTTTAGTTCTGCTCTAATATCTGTTTGTGCTATGTAATTTTTTGTTATATGCATCTTTTCTCTTGTTAAGTGATTCTAATGCAAGGCTATTAATTGTCGATCTTGTGTTTAATTACACTGTGAGTTTTATTGTTAAGAAGATATGTTTAGGTAAGGTGTGAAAAAATATTACGTGATATAAAATACATTAACAATATTAAGAGATTTTCTGAAAATTCGGGGGCAGGATATAAATAAGGACAATTTTTTATGAGCTATACTTAGTGTCCTTAGGGAAAATTTTCTGAGAACACTTTCTAAGGACAACTATGATATCAATTTTTGGTTTTTTAAGTTTATTGATTGTATTCTTCTATATATGTCCTTAGTATTCTTAGTGTTTCTAGTAAAAAATAAGTTATAAGAAAAAATTCAAAACTTATCCTATATTACTTATATATGCTATATAGGTAGTATATGAATACTATATAGATAATATATGCGTAATATACGTATACTTAAAAAATAAAAAAAAAAGGTTGGATATTCTGATTTTTATTAAGAACACTAGAGATACTAGGATAGAGCATTTAATTGATGAAAAAAATCATAATCGATGATTTAATCAGTCCTTCACTCACATGATCGATTAAAAATCAAATTACTTAATTGAATACATGTAATCGATTCCTTAATTGAATACATTGCTCGATCAAATAATAAAAGTAAATATCAATTTTAAATTGATCAATCATTGATTGATTTATAGTTTTTATTACAATATTGTAATCAAATTTAACAATAAAATTCCTAAAAAGATTTAATATTTTATTTATTTTTTTCATTTTACTAATAATAATTTATTATCTGATGTCTTATGATTAAGCTATTGTTTACATACAAAACTTCCTTGTGATAATTATAATAGCATCCTTATTTGTTGTTCCATTAGGATGTTTAAAGGTTTCTGATAAGTTTATACCATTTTATAGTTCTAATCATTAGGACGTGATACAGTAATTCAGTTAATATTTGATGCAAGTTGAAGCAATCTTAAAATAACAAATGGAAAATTCTTATTTCAGTTATGTAGTATTTTTACAT